AGGCTGAGGCAGAAGGATCGCCAGAGCCCAGCAGGTCGAGGCTGCAGTGGCCGTGACCGGCCACTGCACTCCAGTCTGGGCGACAGAGTGAAACTCCGACTCAAAAAAAAAAAGAAAAGAAAAGAAAAAGTTATCTGTCCATAGGAGAAGGAATTTCAGCCCTGTCACAGTTAAAAAAAAAAAAAGCAGTCCAAGCCTAACATAGGAATCCATTGCCTTTAGATCTGTGATGTTTTCTATTCTTGTCCTCAAGTGAAGTCTTTCAACCCTATTTGTTTTGCAGGACCTGGAAAAGGAGAGTGACACACCCCTCCAGCAAGTATCTATTGAAGAAATCCTAGAAGAACAAAGGGTGGAACAGCAGACCAAGCTGGAAGCAGAGAAGCTGAAGGTTCAGGCTCTCAAGGATCGGGGTCTTTCCATTCCTCGAGCAGATACTCTTGATGAGTATTAAGTCTTTTGCTCAGAGGCTGCTGTTCTGGATGAACAGGGCTTTCACTGAATGCAGGTGACCTCGCACATTTAACCAGAGACTATAGAGTTTTTCAAAAGTCACTTTTATGTTTAATTCTTTCACATATTGAACATGAAGAAATCATATGGCTTTTGTGTTTTTTTAAATGACAAAATCATTGTTTAAAGAAACAGTGGCTAGCCGGGCTTGGTGGCTTAGCCTGTAATCCCATGCCTTTGGGAAGCTGAGGTGAGTGGATTGCCTGAGCCTGCGGGTTCGAGACCCGCCTGGGCAGCGAGACCTCATCTCTACAATAAATCAAAAAATCAGCCGGTCATGGTAGCGCGTGCCTATAATTCCGGCTACTCAGAAGGCTGAGGCGGAAGGATTGCTGGAGCCCAGCAGGTGGAGGCTGCAGTGGCCAGGAGTGGCCACTGCACTCCAGTCTGGGCGACAGAGTGAGAATCCAACTCAAAAAAAAAAAAAAAGAGTGGCATGGACTCCTTTCATACGTCACTGTGGAGCCAGAAGCTATTTCTTTCTATTGTTCTTATCCCAAATTAGAGTTTACAGGGGATATGCTTCATTTACTTGTAAATAAAAGATGAATCTCAAAGCTTTTGTGTTATTTTCCAAGTTTGAGTTGCCTTTAGTGAACAGACAAAAATCAAGTTTCCGCTCTCAAAGTCTAGGCAGTCCACTGGGACTCCCCCTTCAGTCACAACTCCAAGCTGCTGGCTGCTCAGGAGGGAATATTTTTATACTAATTATCTTAGGGGGCCTCCTTTCAGGTTTGTATCTAATAAGAAATACAGACTTAGCCAGGCTCGTTGGCTCAGCCTGTAATCCCGCGCCTTTGGGAGGCTGAGGTGAGTGGATTGCCTGAGCCCACGGGTTCGAAATCTGCCTGGGCAACTTGGTGAGACCTCATCTCTACAATAAATAAAAAATGAGCCGGGCATAGTAGCGTGTCTGTAGTTCCAGCTACTTGGAAGGCTGAGGCGGAAGGATCGCCAGAGCCCAGCAGGTCGAGGCTGCGGTGGCCAGGAGTGGCCACTGCACTCCAGACTGAGTGACAGAGTGAGACTCCAACTCAAAAAAAAAAAAAAGAAATACAGACTTTCAGACTTGAGGAGGGAGCTTTCGGTTAAGTTTTCAGTAACTGGTTACAACCGAAGCCTTCTGTTTGAGAAACAACATCGCTGTTGCTCCTACTGTTCCTGCCTCACCCCTAGCTATTCCAAACCTAGTGCCAGGAGATCCAACATTTTTTTAAAGTGGATTAATCTCTGAGTCCTCTGTTTAGTTGGGTTTTCTAGTCCTTTGGATTGAGTCTTGAGCCTCTTATATTTTGATCATCAAAAAGGAAATTGCAGCCGGGCTCGGTTGGTCAGCCTGTAATCCCGCGCCTTTGGGAGGCTGAGGTGAGTGGATTGCCTGAGCCCGTGGGTTCGAGGTCCACCTGGGCAACTTGGCGAGACCTCATCTCTACAATAAATCAAAAATTAGCCAGCATGGTAGCATGTGCCCGTAATTCCAGCTACTTGGAAGGCTGAGGCGGAAGGATCGCCAGAGCCCAGCTGGTCGAGGCTGTGGTGGCCAGGAAGCGTGCCACTACACTCCAGTCTGAGTGACGGAGTGAGACTCCGACTCAAAAAAAAAAGGAAATTGGCCGGGCTCGGTGGCTCAGCCTGTAATCCCAGCACTTTGGGAGGCCGAGGTGAGTAGATTGCCTGAGCCCGCGGGTTTGAGACCTGCCTGGGCAACTTGGCGAGACCTCATCTCTACAATAAATCAAAAATTAGACGGGCGTGGTAGCTACTTATAGTTCCAGCTACTTGGAAGGTTGAGGTGGAAGGATCGCTGGAACCCAGCAGGTCCAGGCTGCGGTGGCCAGGAGCGGCCACTGCACTCCAGTCTGGGTGACAGAGTGAGACTCCAATTCAAAAAAAAGAAGGAAATTAGTATTTTAGTGACTGAAAACCCATATTGATGCCACTTTGTTTATAGTTGTTGGGGAGTAGTGATTGCATAAGAAGCAGAACAGACTGTAAAGAATAGACAGTGAGCCGGGCTCGGTGGCTCAGCCTGTAATCCCGCGCCTTTGGGAGGTTGAGGTGAGTGGATTGCCTGAGCCTGTTGGTCCAAGACCCGCCTGGGCAGCGAGACCTCATCTCTACAATAAATCAAAAAATCAGCCGGGCGTGGTAGCACACGCCTGTAATTCCGGCAGCCCAGCAAGTTGAGGCTGCGGTGGTTGGGAGCGGCCACTGCACTCCAGTCTGGGCAACAGAGTGAGACTCCAACTCAAAAAAAAAAGAATAGACAGTGGACTGAACTAAGAGGTAGAAGACTTAGTGTAAAATTGGCTTACTGGCACATTAGGCTTCAGTCAATCCTCTCTGATTCTCAATAACTTTAACTGTATAATTATTCCAGATAACTCCTTTTCATAGTCTGTTGAACAAAGATTCTTTTAATTAGATACTTATATGTATGTAAATTATTTTATAGCATTAGGTAAACGTAACATTTTATGAACTTGAGTGTTTTAAAAACTGCCCTAAATGCCTACAAATCATTTAACTTCTGAACTGTTCATCATTGGGTTGGTTTTACAACAGATAATTTATGAAGAAACAATTGCACTTAATAACTGACCTAGTGTTTTGCCTATATTCTTGCTGTTTATTAGCCAGAATTTGTTATTAACTACCCAAAGGGGAAAAAAAACTACCACCAATTTTTGAAGAAACATGTCTAACTATCTGAAGGTCAGCAGAATGACCGTGTTTTTCTGAGCCCTGCTCAGAACATGTGATGCCTTCAAGAGATGTGGATTCATTATAGCTATATTTTCAACATCCTTCAAACAATTCTAAATGAAATAACAAGAGGTATGATTTATTCTTTTTTTTTTTTTTTTTTTTTGAGTTGGAGTCTCACTCTGTCACCCAGACTGGAGTGCAATGGCCACTCCCAGCCACCGCAGCCTCTACCTGCTGGGCTCCGGCGATCCTTCCACCTCAACTTTCCAAGTAGCTGGAATTACAGGCATGCGCTACCATGCCCGGCTGATTTTTTTATTTATTGTAGAGGTGAGGTCTCGCTGCCCAGGCGGGTCTGGAACCCGCGGGCTCAGGCAATCCACTCACCTCAGCCTCCCAAAGGTGCGGGATTACAGGCTGAGCCACCGAGCCTAGCTTCTTTGTTTTTTTTTAGTTGGAGTCTCCATTGCCCAGACTGGAGTGCAGTGACACGCACACTCATGGCTACTCCAGCGTCAACCTGCTGGGCTCATGTGATCCTTCCATCTCAGCCTTCCAAATAGCTGAAACTGCAGGCACACACTACCACACCTGGCTTTTTTTTAATTTATTTATTGTAGAGATGAGGTCTTGCCAAGGTACCCAGGCTGTTCTTGAACTCATGTTCTCAGGCAGTCCCCTCACTTTGGCCTCCCAAAGTGCTGGGATTAAAGACTTGAGCCACCACACTCGGCCCTGATTTATTTGTAAGTTAAAACAGAGGAAAAGGAACTTAATTGCCACAGTAAGTCAAGAATGCTTAAACCATTGACTTTCCAAGCTATAGCCTCTTTTAGTCAGATGTGTAATGTGTTGTTTTAGACCTGTATCTTTACAGGCAGCCTCTGAGAATTTGACCCAAAGGATGGAAATGTCTCGACTGTCTGCTTCCTCCTTAATCGTCTGGCTTCCCTGTATAATGGCATGCCCTCAGCTCTACACAGCCCAGTCTTTGCAGACACTGAAATCTTCTGGTGCTTTTTTCCCAGGCCTCTGCTGGCACTCTCTTCTATTATTAGACTTCAGGGTCAATTCCATTTTTTCCTTTTATCTTTTTTTTTTT